ACCTAATGTTCCTTTCACGCTGGTTGAGTGAAAGTAGGAAACTATCTAAATTGTCCTTACCATGAGGCCAAATGACGAAATATTCATCCATGTATCTAACCGATAATTTTGGTGTTAGTATTGCCTCTTGCAGGAAGTGCTCCTCCAATTTTGCCATATAATTGTTCGCTATGATGGGATACAGGCAAGATCCCATCGCTAATCCTTGCGTTTGTTCGTATAACTTACTGTCAAAGTAAAATATGTGGTACTCATGCATAGATTAATAAGTTTAATAATGGAAACAACTCTCAGCCTTATTCCTTGTGTTATCTCTGGATGTTCTTCCAGAGTTTGTATCAGAGCTTGAATTGCTCCTTGCACTGGAATGTTTGTGTACATAGACACAGCATCAAAGCTTACTTGCTTATCCTCTTCAGAAATTGTCTGCTGATCTAGCAATTTCACAAAATCATACGAATTTTTAACTTAATAGAGCAGAAATTGGCCATTTACTGGAATGTAAGCCTCGCCTCTAGGTATCCTTTTATTGCTACTGGCAATGGGGAAAGCTAGTAGGCCTAATCAACACTCATAATCACTACAAATGAACATTTAAAGAGCATTTCTATCTCTTGGAGGTGTGCCTGAGGGGCAGCTTATCGCCTCTTGACGCACACACACGTTTTCGAACAAAACTGTGCACCAAACGTAAAGTTATGCTAAAATTAACCACCAAGCAAAGCCTTGCATTCATTTTGATATGAAAAACTCACTTATATATGAAGTATGATAAAGTCGGATAGTATTCTTGGCTAGTGTTAACGTGAGACTCTTACAAGAATGAAATCCAGCTCCGATGATTTCCATCAAATGATGGACGAAAGCTTAGCACTTTTTCACCCGAAACGAGGGAGGAAGTCTCGTAAACTGCGTCAAAATGAACATCGTCTAAAAGCAAAACGGCTGCAATACAACGAGATTCATCCGTCCTCATCTGGTGAGATCGACCAACGAATCTCTTCTTTATGCACTTTCTTCAGAAAAAAAGGTCCCACTAACAATGTTATCTCAGGAAATTCATCCTAACCAAGTTTCTCTTCGTATCTACAATTATTTTAACTTCTTTCATAATATTGATATAGCGTTATATTCTTAATAAATAGCTGTTTGGCAATTTATTTGAATTAAATTGAAATATGATGCTTTTAAGGTTGCTGCTGTACCATTTGACAGGCTTATTTGTAATGCAGGGCCAAGAGGGGACAAAAGGTAGATATTAAGCCCAAGTGATCATCGTCCCTATGAGCTTAGCAGAAACTTCTGTCTACCTACTGAATAGAAGATGCAAATACTCCATTTTCGGATAAGTTAGTGAACCCTCGAGAAACGCAATCAGTTATCTCGTAGCACTGTCAGTTAGAAAAATATATTTTTACACATTTTTATCGTCACCTATCACTTTGAAAGAAATATTTTCCTGACAATTGTACCAACCTAACCAGATTGTCATTGCCTATATCTTAATGGCTCACTATTAAATCACCTTGATCAATGAAAATATACAATTTTTATTAATTTGGATTTCTATTTGAATTTTTTGAACATGGCATGGATTTGTGGTAATCATTGGGGCAACTTCTCCTCTGAGTCTCATAAAAGATGATTGAGGCCAGTCCAGGCTTCATGAGCTTACCTGTAACTAATTAAGCATTTGGTCCATAAAATACAGTATGCAACTCCTGTACGAGATGACCATTTTAGAAACACTTTCTTGTGTAACTTTAAAGTAGCTTAGCTTGCATTTTATTTAATCAATCCTTAAACAAAGGTTTGCGTCAGCAAGATGTATGCATAATCTCTGAAATGTTTCATTACATTTCTCACTAGATTGCCCAAATAAAACTATTTTGAGCCGTTCAGTCTGACATTTTGAAATACTACCTCCTTTTGAACTTTTACAAGCTTAAATGGTAATACAGAAATCTGTCAGTTTATAAGTTGTTCTCTTATTTGATTTCTATTTATGCTCATGCTTTCACAGCCAGCTAACATTTACATTTATAGTAATTTACCTTTTATATTAATAATTGATTTGTTATCAACAATTAATTAAATAATTAATATTGTTTCTAATAATTGCAAATCTATTTGCTTTTAGTAAATTTCGAAATATCCTGGCCTATATAGGCTCTACTTGCCTCCTGGTAGAAGAGTAACTGAAACTTCATGAGACCAGGGGCTCTGTCCACCGCTGCCAAAGACCGCATTGACTTTTGCACGAGCCGCAATCTTGCAACTGTAATTTGTGTTGGGTGTAAGCATGGTTGCGTGGTAAGTCTCTAAGCTTGGATCTACCAGAATCTCCGGATAGTTGATGGCAATGCTACTATTAGACGTAATAGAAAGAACATAATTCGAGATACTGTTCTTTTTGATCGCCGGAGGTGTCCATTTGAAGGTAGCCGAGGTTGAATCAAAGGAGAATACAATGAAGTTTCTAGGCGCCGTTGGTACTGTAAAATGGGAAATATACAAATTCAGAGTGAAAAAAGGAAAAATCATTAGATATATAGAACATATGGTATATAAAATAGACATGAAAGGGTTTAAGCTGATGGTTATTGCAACATTTTGTATATTTTGTCTATTGAAATATTCCTACCATTATAATTGTGGTTGACCATAACCAGCAAAGTATGGAATGACGTACAGATACAGAAATGCTTTCATGTTGTCGCATGATAGAAGCATATCGTGGAATAAAAGCCACTTTATATTTATTGTCCGCCTCTTGAATTACATTTGCAAACTTTTATCTGCCCTTTATTTCCATTTCATCCACGTCATCCCTTATTTATATAACACAAAGTGAGTTTTCTAAGGCCATATCTTTATTATTATTGAAGTCGACAGGCCCGAACTGCCACAAAAGTCTATGGGGAATCTTTTTATTGCACCCTAATTAGGTTTACAATGAATAGTGACATAAGTAAAGTGTTCTCTGATTATAATTACATTTTTAATGAATGAGTGATATTACTTTGAAAAGCCTATGATTTTAAGAGCATATGAAAATGTCTGAAAATATGATTTGCTGACCAGCTTAATCAGAAACAGTACCTTAATTTACCTTCAAATGCACACCATGGAAAAATAAAACTTTCATATATTTAGAGGTTGTTTGACCTAGTTTTCGCAACATAGTCATATTGGTAGGAAGACTTAGAGGAACGCATCTAGTCCGGAGTTCCTTGCCTGCATGATCATTTCCAGAGTAGGACCATGGACGTGGTACATTCCTAAAGTTTCGCCGGCATCGTCAGTGAGTTTCGCCATTTGTAGCACCATACAACAACTTGTCAAAAAGACAAGTGAAGCCGATCCTTTGACCAAACGTGTGCTAAGCAATTGTGATATCTCCCCTTTTGCCCTGGGTTATTCGCGTTTCCGGTAGCATAAGGTATCGGCTTCAATTGTCTCTTTGACGAGTTGTTGTATGGTGCTAAGAATGGCGATCCTCACTGACGATGCCGAATACGATGCCGGTTAAACGCTAGGAAATGTAACATGTCCACGGTTAAACTTTGGAAATGATC